TGACAAGTACATGTGCTTTTATTAAACATCCAATTTTCCATTAACGCCCACAAAATCTACCTAGCTTAAGATCGATAATATACCGCCCGACAATCATACAAAAATAAAACAATACATGTAGCTGCTGATTTAATTGACAGACTAGCAACCTGTGCTACCTGATACTGTAGTCTGAGTTTGCATTCTTTGAAAGCAATTACGCGTACCTGGTCGTACCTGGTCACGCGTCAAATGCTTTCATGTACCGCTTGAAAAGTCGCTTTGTATACACTCGGGTAAAAACTTATATATTTGTTGGTAATTATATTTCACAAAGAGAAGAGAATTAAACTTTGAGTTCATTATTTTTATTTTCACTACTGTTTTGTACACTGTACTTGTACCCGCTATGTCGTCCAAGATAACTGTACAGCTTTCCGAAGAAAAAAAAACTGGCGGCTATTCGAGCCCCTTTTCGCCTTCAATGTCCACTTCAAAACATACCTGTTTACAGAGAAGAGATCATAATATTCAATAAAATATTTCATATATGTAATTTGATTTTGTATGTATAAGTATCTGAAAGGCTATATTGTGCTGAATTTTTTAAAATACATGTTTTATATAATACATATTTTTTAGTATACGATAAAATATCGCCAACACTATAAGCTTAATTATTTCTAATGTCCAGAACTGTGTAACGTAAATGCCTTGCATTTAAGAAGTATGTTAACTTGTTATAATTTAATTCCACTTGCACGCGCGGCTGAAAAGAAAAAAAGAAAAAATGTACAAGGAGTACATATACATGGACTTGAAGATAACAAACTTATTAGCACACATCTAATGATGAAAATGAAAATAATTGATAATACACTTTTACAACTTCATTTCAATGATAAGTTATTCTAAAACTTTACTTCAAATGTCAGAAAGGCCAGTACAGCCAAACTACTCTTAATTGTCTCTGTTTTAATTACAATGTCAATCACAATAACTCTTTTCTTTAGATCCCTTCATTTCTTATTTGTACATAGTTACATGAAATTCATGCACGGCGCTACACCTGCCAATCAAAATTGTAAACTTCTGGTGCCACGGAAGCATTTCCCCTGTGGTGTAAAATATTCTTTAGGTCAATTCTAATTTTACGCTTTTATAGATACAGTGTAATATTTCGAAACAACGTTTTAATTAAGGCTGAAGATGCATGCTGTGAATTTATCAAACCTGCAGTCCTAATTGAGGATCCGTTGTTACATGTATATTATAATTAATCAGAGTCCAGTATTTGTGACAAATTTTGATTGAGATTTCACTTTCCCTTTAGGATAAAATGATTGATTAAATAGATTATACGTATGAGATGGATACCTGTACTACATATAAATATATACTTTTCACTTTGTAACAAGAATCTGTTTTGGGCAATTAAAAGTGAAGAGTTTAGGTAAAAGACTTTGACAAATTACAAGTTATTCCTTCTTAGTCACTATATAGCTTAGCGCTATATGGTCGTGCCCCCCCCCCCAATTATGTTTTTATTTTTTATTTTTATTTTTATTTTTTTGCTTAGAAAAAAAATTGATTGTTTGTGCCCCGTCCCAGAAAAAAAATGAAATTGCTTTCTACAGGCTTAAGTCAGAACATGATTTTCATAATGATAGTACCTAAATCAAAATGTTTCTACCCAGGGCTACGATTCGTAGTCGTGGTTTCGAATACCACCACGTCGCCCGTGTGGCGCAGTGGTTTGAGCGTTTGCTCTAGAGTCGCGGAGTAAGGAGTTAATCTTTATGTGGCGGGTTCGACTCCCTCTGCGGGATGTGGAGACCGGTCCTTTGCATGAGACCGTATAAACCGAGATCCCGTGTAGCAGTAGATGCTGGCACGAAAGAGATCCATCACTGCTCAATGACCTTGAGTGTCGAGTATAGGTCTGAATTTGCAGCCCTCCACCGGCAAGTGGTGGCGTTTCTATATGAGTGAAAAATCTCGAGAGGGACGTTAAACAACACACAAACAAACAAACTATTCCACTACAGGACGTGGAGACTGGTCCTTCGGATGAGACCGTGTAAACCGAGGTCCCGTGTAGCAGTAGGTGCTGGGATGAAAAAATTCCTCACTGCTCAGTGGCCTTGAGTGTCGAATTTACAGCCCTCCACCGGCAAGTGGTGGCGTTTCCATATGAGTGAAAAATCTCGACGGGGACGTTAACACACAAACAAACAAACAATTTCACTACAGAACGTGGAGTATGGTCCTTCGGATGAGGCCGTATAAACCGAGGTCCCGTGTAGCAGTAGGTGCCGGCATGAAAAAAATCCCCCACTCTTCAATGGCCTTGAGTGTCGAGTATAGGTCTGAATTTGCAGCCCTCCACTGGCAAATGCTGGCAGCTCAAGGGACGCTTAACAACAAACAGACAATCAAACAAACATTTTTGTGCCGCCTGCAGAGCAGCACTTAGCGATCAATTTACCTGGAGTCTGTCTTGCTGTCCGTCCGTCTGTCACACCTTATATCTCGAGAAATGTAAGAGGTAGTTTGATAATTTGCACATATAGCTTGACACTATGGCTTTTGTATTTTTCCATGGCTTCCGACCTAGATATCCTTGAACTTGACCTTTGACCTACTTTTCAAAATAACCAATAATGCCGATATACTTCTTTTTGATATTTATGAGGTAAGTCTATGCTATTTAGAATGTACACTGTTTGTCATAAAAGATTTTGAAAAATACCAGCGTTACAGTCCACTTGACTTTTGACCTATTTTGTAAAATATACTGCGGAAGGTTAAATTTAACTTATGTCTTTTGAAATTACAGAGGCAGAGTTTTGATAATTAATAGTTATACATGTTTATGAGCTCATGACAATGTATTTTGACGCTGTATGAAATAAAGAAACCACAAAAACTGAAATTTAAGTACAATGAAAATACAAGGGGATCGGTATTCCAAAATGGATGGTGTAGACTGAAAATTGCTGATATGATAGACTGAAGCCTCTTTCGAAGGATTGTTGAAATCACGTACTTAAATAATTTATATATAATTATTTATAATAAATTTATTCAAATTTCATTAATATCCATTTTAGCTTTCAGGGGTTAAGGATTTGCATTTCTATTTGATTGTTAGATTCTATCGCAGTCTTACTATCCCTGGATTTTTTTTTTTTTTTTTTTTTTTTTTTTTTTTTTTTTTTTTTTGCATGAACTATATTCAATGCCGTAGCAAATAAATAGCTGATAACTTTTAGACTTAGTTACATCTTTAATGAAGCTAAAAGCAGGCGACACATGCGTTCCCGGGAACACTCTATTTCTGTAAGAAATCGGCAAAGATAATTAAGCAGAGATTTTTGAAGAACAAAATGGGTTTTTAACCTTTTTATAACGCTGACTATATATACATGTATGGTCCGCATTATAAAACATGATGTGATAGGGTAACGTAATGCACCTTGTACACGTACTCAAAGACGCCGACGTTTTTCAATATCGAAATTGGACATAAAACATATTTACAATAAAATTTGAAGCCAGCGAGTTAAAAGTAATAAATTACAACTATATGGAAACGAAATGAAAAAAAAAATGTGTAAACTTGTCAAGTTGGAAACACTCAGAATGGGTATTGTTGGTATCATACAGACTGTGTCATGACCTTGACTCAAGTTCAAGGTCACTAAGAACAAGATGCTTTTACTGGATGTGTGGTCTGAAAGAACGTATGTTAACTTGTCAAGTCGGTAACACAGATAGGTTTGCGTCATAACTAGAGAGTGTCATGGCTTGACAGAAGGTCATCTGGACATGTTCAAGGTCACAAAATAGAAAGTGTACATTATTTTATTGTCTTTCTACTGGCGAAGCATTGCAAGTTGATAGTCCCTTAAACGATTATTTATCATCTTAGAATATGGCATGACCTTGACTCAAGGTCACTGCTCCAACGGAAGACCTATTCGTTGCTCTGCAACGAGCTCGGCTCTAGTTTATAATATGTCTGTTTGTTGATTCATGTAAACTGCTGCCATCGTTGAGACTCATCTAATAAATACGGAATCTTTCATCATTTGTTTTATCTCTGGAATTGCATATTGGTGGACCTTCGGGAATACGGCACACCTATACTTCGTTTTTACCTTACGGCCACACAGCGCCTCGACCTATACCTTGTACCCTCTACGCCAACATTCCCTCACCCCGTTCGTTCTGCAGACAACGGATGCAGTTCCAGACGAATTCCTAAGTGCCGTCTAATTCTACACGGTCACATATCCGTATTTTAGTGTTCTTCAGCCCAGTGTGTTCTTTCTGGCATCATAAAATTTGCATAAAGAGTCAATAATAAAGAAAAGTTTTAAAGACAAGGCATATAATAGTTGGCAATTCGGATATTCCTCCAAATGTACAATCCTCTTATTCTGGCCGTGGTTGAATGAGACGAGAATATTTCCTAGCTCATAAAAATATTGACCAATGCGAGTAAAGCATAGTCGGAAATTAATGCGATCTTTCATTATCCAATCGCAATTTACGCAACCTTTGTTTTTAATTGGTGATATAAGCTTTTTTTCATTGATTTATAACGACGCCACACATTAGGCGTGATTATTCTTAATTTGTTCAAGTAGCCACGGGCAGAAGAACTATGAGAGGACACCAGACCGTGTCTTAAGACGACGAAATTCAACTCCACTGACTTTTGAATAAAGTTATGATTCCATTTTTTCAATTAGATTTTAAAAAGTTATGGGAGTTGGGGGAGGGGGTATTAGATTTTATATTTTCTCATAAATTAAACAGAAACATCTCCATTTGTTTCTTAGATCATAATAAATTAGGTTATGAATTTCTTTTTATGTTCTTTAAACAATTAAAGCAAAATATTTTTTATTAACTAAGACTAGTATTGAATTAAGTAGGAAGGAACCTTTCGCAATATCTACTCAGTTGTACCAGTTATTAGTAATAACTAGACTGTAATAAACATTTGCTACCTTATACTGCACTGTCTGCAAAACATCTAATGTAATCCTTTTCCTTTTCTTGGGTTTGGTTACCGATGGTGACTGGTCACGTTCACTGCAACATTCAAACTCTGATTCCTTTTCCGCATTCGTTCTAGGTAGTAAAAAGTTTGACTGGATTTACTTAATACAAGAAAGGTGGGGAATAAAATTATGATAAAAAAGCAGAATACCGACAATTATTAATATTCTTTTTAATTGTTTTTTTTTCTTTTGAGATCTCGACATGTGACAGAGGACACCTTTTCTCAAGCGGATATTTATATGACCCAATAACTTTTTGAAAAGTAAAAATTGCATATACACGTCAATTAAAATATCATGCATGCGATATCATAAATTTTAAATCATATATTTCTTTCTAATTTTATTCCTCTTTGATTTCGGACCGGCAACAAGTCAGTACATAACCAGTGCGATAATAAAATTTTAAAGGAAATGTATTAATTAGTAAGAAGAAATGTTAACTTCCTTGACATACAAACAATTCGCACAACTTTTTACCCGTGGATAAAACCCAATAGGTGATTGACCCCGTAAAAAAGTGTGTTTACAGTATTAACATAAAAGAAATATCGTCAACTAGTATACGTTACTGAAATGTTAAAACTTTTTCTTCCCAAACTTAAAAAGAATTAAGCATTCACCATTGCTTTCATTTTATTTAAGATCATTAAACCAACCTTTCAGGATAAGTACACTCAGAACTTTGGACTTCGTTTACATCGATATCTGCTTCCGTTCTTTCTTCATTGGTACCATGGGTCGAAGTAGAGGCTGCCTCTGACTCAGTTTCTTTTGACACCACTTTAAAGGAAAACGAAATATTTGAGATAAATACTAACTAGTAACAAGTGTTACTTCTATCTGTACTACTACTAAGTATAAGGCCTGTAACAAACCATTTCAAAACGGGAAAAAAGGGGTGGGGTAAAGTGCAGAAGGGGGGTGACCAAGCGTTCCATTAACTAAATGCTCTTTGATTTTATAACGGTGAAATTTAAAAAAAAATCATACAGGTCCACTCATTAGCTTTCTAGGAACGTTTGCTAGCACCATATGCATCGTGCAATTTATCATCTAAATTATTTTTTAAACTATGATCAGAAAAAAGGATTCCTCACACTATAAAATACCTGCATTTTTTAAAATATAGTTGCAGTTATAAGTGGATCAAGGGATCTTTGAAAAGGATCAATTGAAAGCCGGTGTGTTATAAATTTAGGCACGGAGAGCTGAGCGTGGCATCGTGTTTTTTTTTCAAGATGCATGGAAAATGGGTCAGGTAATAAAGATCAAATAAAAAAAAAACACCATGAAACCTTTTGAAAATAATACCTGAAATATCACGAAAAAGCAGTCTCACAAAACTCCAAAATCGTGCGGAGGGGGCCGGGATGGGGCCTTTTGTTTCTTGCCCAAATTTTGACAAGATTATGTGAATGGCTTGACCTTGTCAGCATCAGAATGAGTCTTAAACTCAAACAGAATTTCGATGATACTCCTTAAATGTTTTCTTTTTCTTTTTGCTACATATTTGTTAAAATAATGAAATGGGTTTCTTGCTTCTTACCTGAAATAAAGCAATCACAACCCATATTGTGCCCCACTAATGACGTCATTTTATATGAGAATGCGTTGGGCTGTGACTTTTGAGTAAAGTGAGCTTACATCGGACTAAATTTAACATTTCTCTGTGTGATAATGTGGATTTTAACTAGCCTTAGTTATAAAGGGGATGTTAGCTCTATTTACGTGAAAAAGGCGATTTTATTTTTTCTGTTTGGAAGATCATAGAGTTTTCATAGACTAGAGGATCGAGACATGTACTGAAGTAGCCTTCATTATTACATTGAGGCCTAGTTGCATCACAGGCTGGACTATTTAAATGGATTTTTCAAGTGAGTCTTACATTTTAAGGAAAAAATTAAGACATATTCAAAACAGCAGAATTATGTTATTATGACAATAATATTACACGTGTTATGTGAATGGTTGGTGACGTCATCAACTTGAGCAATGTTGTCAGACGACAATGTAAACAAACGGTACTTCTAAAATACGTCTCTGGCTGGTTTCATTTGATTAAACGATATTTTGATTCAAATATAATTTTAATTTCATTTTTCGTTTTCTTTGATGCATAATATGGCAAAATACCTGCAAATGCCGGCACAGATGACTCAAAGCCACCTACTATGCCACTGAAGTTAGGCCGATCTTTCATCATCTCGATGATTTTCTCTTCAGCGGCAGTAAGTGGCTTTGGTGGAGGGCCTCCTCCGGTCAATTTGCTTTGTTTCCTGGCCTCACTGAAACTTTTTTTGGCTCCTTGTTGTAAGTTGCCCCACTTGAATTTTACCTGCTCCACGGTGCGTTTTTGCACACCGATGGCATTTATCATTGCGGTTACCTCCGCCCACATAGCATTTTTTTTTCGAGTTGGTAATATGGTTACATTGTTTAGCTTTTAGTGTTTCCTCATTTTTTTCCACAAAATCCGTCAAAACAGATATTTCCGTGAGGCTCCAGTTCGCACACCTCTCTCTTTTGGTAGCCATTTTCTGCATTCTTTTGTAAGGAAAATGCACGTGCAGACGTATTTAATTGCTTGCTAACTAACATCGATGAGTTAAATCACAGTTAACTAATGAAAGTTTAATTACGTTTCGTGCAACCCTTATTTAACGGCTTGTTACGTTACTGGATCCGGTTGTATCAATATTTAATGAATAATTAAAGCTTCATTAAACTGATCATTTTTAATGTGTCATTAAATTCCGTTGTATCAATGTTTTAATGAACGAATCGATGCATTAAAGCTCCATTAACTTCTCTAATTTTAATGAAGCCAAGAGGGCTTCTTTAAACGCTCATTAACAATGGCGGCCAACGAAATGTTTGGTCAGTTGGGTAGAAGAAGAGCGGATAGGGTTTTAAGAGAACGTTTTTCTTTACAGTGAAGAGGAAATTCGGAGGCGGTATCGATTTGGAAAGGAATCAATAAAACAAATCGTGGATTTACTTGACCCAATAATCGGCCATAGGACTAGAAGGTCGCAGGCATTATCAACAGAATTACAGGTATATAACTGATTAAAAAAAACTCACTTTGTCATGTACTGTCCATACGAAAACAGTCAACAAACACCACAACCTCCCCTTTCCCTTGTTTTTTTTTTTAGTTGATTACGTCACATATTGCGTCACCTTGGTGGCGGATCCTGACAATATCTTACCCATATAGTACAAGAATAATTAATAATTATTATACATATTTTACATGAACATGATTATACATACAATACATCTCATATTATTTGAATAATCTTTTTGATTATACACAGGTGAACTGTGACGACAAAATTCTTGAGTGATTCTAAAATATTAGAGTTATTCCCCTTTGTGCATATCATGTAAGCATGTCACAGGTGCTTGGAAACTGACGATCCGCAACTATATGCTAGTATCATATTTTTTTTTTTGGGGGGGGGGGGGGAGTCTATATATGTCCTTGTACATGTATAAAACACCAACCGACTGTGTCTCGGATATCAAAGGCCAGTCGAATGTAAAAATATTCCGTTTTGAAATAAAAATGCTGTGGCTGTTTTAAAAACACATTTTGTGATACATTTAGAGGAGTCGTCGTCGGGGTGGACCGCGTTTTGTAGTATTTGAATCATTTAAAATCTTTCCTCGAAGATTAATTAGACAATTTATGTAATATCTTGATTTTATTCGCCATCATTATGGAAATATGCCGTATTAATGAGGTTGATTTATTTATTCAATGTATGAAAAATGGTGAAGGCCCACATTAATAAAATCTGTAACATAAATTACTAAAAAAAATTGAATTAATATACATGTATATGCATGTACACTGTACTACATTTGTATGAAATCCACATATGATTATATATATATATATATATATATATATATATATATAGTGCCAAAAATTACATGTTTAAGATTTAGTTTACATAAAAATATGCAATTCTACAATAGTAATTTTATCAGATTTCATTGTTGATATTGTAGGTCTTCACCATTTTTCGTAAATTGAATAAATAAATCAGCCTCATTAATCCTGCGTGTTTCATTATCATTTCATTAAATTTTGGCTGAATTAATTTTTTTTCTTCATCAGGTGAATTTACATTAAAGTAATAAATATTTTGGAAGGAATTTTAAATCAAATCTGCTATATATAAAATCAATCTACATGTAATTAAAATTAGATGTTCCGAATCCGCTACCGCTAGAGGCGGTAGTGGATTTGGAACATCTAATTTTAATCAGATTGTTATAACATAATTATGAACTCGTTTTTTTTTTTTAATTTCATGATTTAATGCCGGTAAATCGAGAGAAACTGAATTTGGTTTGAATATTATGAACTTTGAACCTAAATTAAGTTTTTATAATTTAATTCTGATTGTAACGCTGTATTTGATTGGATAAAAAATTTACTTTATATCGTATAAAATGGGTTGCCTACGTCACAATGACTTGCGTTAAAAACGTATCGATCCGCCTGACGTTACATTCAAATTTTGTACAAATTGAAGTCATTTTCTTAAGGACAGTCATCTTTTGTCTTACACCAAAAGAATGAAAATTAAATTATAAGGAATGAATTTAATAGCTACCCATTTTATACGATATAAACTGGGTTGGAACAGTTTACGCTTTTTTTATAAACCGCTTCGCGGTTTATAAAGCGTAAACTGCCCCAACCCAGTTTATATCGTATAAAATGGGTAGCTATTAAATTCATTCCTTAATAAAAATCGAAACTAATATATTAACTATTCGGGTTATTTATTTAGTTATCGACAAAAGTGACTTTAAAAAATTTAAATCTAAAATTTAATATTTTACTATTTCTTTCAATTCATATCACAATCTCTTCCGAATTCGGACCAGAACACGGGAAGTTGGTGTATAGTTCATGGCATTAGAAAAAAATCGGAGGAACTCAATCTTATCTTAACTATCTTAACTAATTAAAACATAAAGTGAAATACATGTATATTAATAATAGTCACATCGTTTCTAATACACTTTAAATTAATATGACATGCATGTATACGTCTGTTAAAAACACAACAAAAACTTGCCTATAATACTGACTTTTCCTTTTTTTTCCCCTTAAGGTAGGCCCCACTCGAAATTTTCTTGGATATAGCAATGCATGTTTTCTTTCTTTGAATCATTAGAATAACATCTTACTAGGTAATTTAAAAGCCCATAAAATAAATTGTTTGATTTTTTTTTTCTGACTAAAATTATCATAAAGACATTTATTACGTTTTCAACAGTGAAATACTGTGATTTATTTATTGAATAAAAGTGATATTCTCTCACAGTGTGAAAGAATACCAATTTGAAAAATGATATTCTCTCACAGTGTGAAAGGATATCAAAGTAAGTAAAAAATAATTTCTGGCCTGTCATAAGATAGAGATAGTAACTAAGCATCTTGATAGAGCTAAAACTGCAAATTTCTTCCTAAATATGTAATGCTATGTTATGTAATGTTTTCAATCTGACAAACAATTTACTTCTAAGCTATGACGTCTCAACCGCTCAACTATGACGTCAAGCCTATGACACTGTGGTAAGAAAAGACATAGGCAAAGGGAAAATCAAAGAAAATGTAATAAACAGAAAATTCAATGTTTTGTAGATGAATATGGAATTTATTTCACTCGTGAGACAGGATTTTTTGATATTTTCACTCGTGCTTCGCACTCGTGAAAATATCAAAAAATCCTGTCCCACTCGTGAAATAAATTCAATATTCATCTACAAAACATTGAATATCCTCTATATATACCACTTTATTTCAAATCTTTAGTGCTACGAACCTGTTGAAATCTTGCAAATGAATTAATTATATCTATATTTAATGTACTTGACCAGCAAAATACTCAACATACGCGCAGGTATATTAAGGCAGTACCCAGATCATTTTTCGGCGAATTTAGACTTTTTTCGTAAAATATAACATTGATAAATCGGAAAAGCCATAGATAAAACATTTACTATAATTATTATCTATTGTATAGACTTCAGCGAGTCTTAGGTTAAAAGAAGCACCCCACTACGACGCCATCACGTGACGTCTATAAATAGAAAAAAATTGCCTTAACGAAAAAGTAGAAAGTTCAACACTACCGCGGGGATAACTTATATCTTTTTGTGAAAATAATTATGTAAAAACATCACTTCGCCATGAAAAGTGCTGCTAGAATCCTACTCTCCCGAAATAGAAAACATCACTTCGCCATGAAAAGTGCTGCTAGAATCCTACTCTCCCGAAAAACAAAAAATATTCCAAAGTTTCGCATGAAACCTTACCAAAATTTTCACATTTTGTACATACGATCAAGGAATTGTCATCAATTCATTTTAACCACACGATTCTAACAGCACTTTCCAAGTACTATAGAATACAAGCTTTCTATGGCATGTCAAACGTTGCAATATTCGATCTTTTGCATTTGCATTGTATAATTTTCCATTTGCATTGTATAATTTTTATTTGTATTGTATAATTTTCTATTTGTATTGTATAATTTTTCATTTGTATTGTATAATTTTTATTTGTATTTTATAATTTTCTATTTGTATTGTATAATTTTTCATTTGTATTGTATAATTTTTATTTGTATTTTATAATTTTCTATTTGTATTGTAAAATTTTCATTTGTATTGTATAATTTTTATTTGTATTGTATAAATTTCCATTTGCATTGTATAATTTCTTATTTGTATTGTAAAATTTCTTATTTGTATGCGATAATTTTTCATTTGTATTGTATCCGCGGACTGTTTATTTGTTTCGTTACGAAGGATTTCATTGGTCAAGTTTCAGCCTGTATCGGGTTGAAGATGTTCCGGATGCTCAAAGCAAACTGGGCTCATATGTATTTGCTTGCTTGCTTGATTGATTATTGTTTAACGCCGAGTCGGCAATATTTCAGCCATATTTCGGCGGCATATGTATTTGCGTGCATGTTAGACGGTCATTGGATTCTAAAAAGGGAGCGCTGGTAGGACCTTGAGTGGTGGTAACTACCCCCACCCCCAAAAAACTGAGTTTTCGGGTTTGGGCGGATTTTCTTCTTTTTGTTTTTCTCCTTGTCTCTGGTCATATTGGAAATAAATATTCTCTCCTGCGAGAGAATGAAAATAAATAATCTGATTCGACACCCCCCGAGAATCAAATGGCCGTCCCTTAGCATGCACCGCAAATAGAGGAGCCGAGTTTGTGTTTGTAGAGAGTGCGCGATCGGAATTGTGGGAAGGGTACCAGACTAAGTTTGTGATGGGCACCTGAGACCTTTATACAGACTAAATTTTATGACCAATGACATCCTTCGTAACGAA